AACCGCTGTACTTCGTAAGAATCCATGTGTGAGTGTCCCTAAGAGTAGCTCGCTAGAAACTGATTTTCGAATATGAAAACCCCGATTAAATACAGCTCGAATCATTCGAGCGAACAAAGAATGTACATAAACCGGTTTTGTATTAAAAACGCTAGTACAAAGGTACTCATCTATACGTTGTAACGATGAGTACCAAATAATATACATGTACTTGATTAGTACGACAAAAATGTATGAAATCATTATTGAACAAACAAATGACTATTGTTAAACATAAATAATGAGGGTACCTGAAAAGTACGATTTTGTGTGTGTGTGTGTGTGTGTGTGTGTGTGTGTCTGTGATCGTGCGTGTGTGCGTGTGTGTGTTTGTGCGTGCGTGCGTGCGTGCGTGTGTGTGTGTTTTGTTGTTGTTTATATATATTTTCATGTGAACAAGTAAACGTGAACGTTATTTGTGGTCCCGTTATTTTCGAAAAATGTATTACTCGATAAGTTCTTGTGTTAGATAAACTAAGTAAGTGCCTTTGTAACATAAAATGTTCACAAGGAAATGTAATGAAATCTAAACACAGTGTAAATTTTTTTGGTGTGATAAATAGTTATTAAAAATATTTTTTTATATATTAGAAATTAAACTAGACATTTAAAGAACTATCCTGTACATCTTATTGTAGAATCGTCCGTTACATTTTAGAGTAATAGCAAGAACTATCCTTTATATTTCATTTTAGACCTATTAAAATTTTATATTAGAAAGGCAGCAGCTATCATTTATATAATAAAACAAATTAAGACTATGTACAAAATGCAGGTTTGACCTTCCTGAGGTCCAGGTCACACTTAGTTATCCGCTCTGTAACTTTCAAACCGAAAGTTGGAAATTACAAACATGTGACAGAAATATTAATATTACTAAGATGATGTGCAGAGCGTGTTTGAAATTCCTTGGATCAAAGTCAAGGTTATACTGAGTCATTCAATATCCTTATATAAGTTTATAAATCACAAAGGGAGATTACAATGTATTTAATTATTTTCATTTTTATGTTTCCTCCACTTTATATGAGCATGTTGCTTCAATATATTTCTAAAAATCTATAATTAGTACTTTTATGAAACCTTATAGTTTTATGGGACAATACAATTTGATTATTTTAAAAGTTGACAATCTTTTTAAATAAAACTCATGAAATTTAACAAAATATGTAAAGTAAGTTGTAAATGATACATATATCTTTTTTTAAAGAAAATTCATAAGGCAATTCATGAACTTGTCTTCTCAATTTCCCTCGGAGCATGTACGTCGCAGAGAAGGCACAGGGCAGAGACATAATTAAACATCGATGGACCCTCATTCAACATTGACTACATTTGTACATGCATTCATGAACTTATAATCTCGCCTTTGCGGGTCGGATTCCTGGGCTGGCGATCTAAAATTACTTATCAGTCTTTCGGATGGGAATTAAAGTCGAGGTCGCGTGTATGAGGGCTTTAACATTTGGCAAACTAAAGGACCAGGAGAAGCTTGTGGAATTTGCGTACTTTTTGTATCTGTATCTTGCACTATCCTCCAAAAATCTGAATACTCTTCTGGAGGACTTGCCCTTATTGTCAACCGGTGGCGAATAAAAATAAACAGACATACGCACGCACGCACGCACGCACGCACACACGCACGTACGCACACACACAGGCACACACGCACATGCGCGCGCGAACACACACATACACACACACACACACACACCAATAATGAGAATGGTATTCTCATTAATATGCAAAATTGAAAAAGGAACAGCACTTTTATTCTTTGGCTGAATTTTCATGCAAAACTCGTCTGTGAATATCTGGAAAGAATGCTCTTACGGAAATACATGTTTTAGGTACCAAACCGAGTTGCATTACCTTATCAGTCAGTCCAGTCAAGCTCGTCCGTAAGATATGATCATTTACATTGGCATCAACACCTTATTTCTATCCATGATGCATGTAATGGTCTAATTGGCCTCCCGTGCATCATAAAAGTAAAATTACCAAAATCACTTGTATATATGTTAAGTTGCATGCAGTGAATTACTAAATTCAAAATTAATGGTCCCCCTTTTGGTATATCAAAATCTTTAAGGACATGAATGATGGCATGTCCGGGATCCGCACTCTCAGTGCCTGAAAGGGCATTTGGACCCTCATTAAGCATAGATTACATACACACACATATACCACATATACGACAATTCATTCATTCTGTTATGCGCTAAATTTAGAATTCTGCTGAAGGTGGATTGAATCTCAACACAATTTTCCGTTTTATATTTTAATGTTTCTTTCTTAGTGGAATACCACAGATAATATATAACATATACACAGGTTATCCTGATGTTTACAAATTAATATTAAAAACAGTAACAATTATTTTTAGTGGAAAGCCACAATACAATGTTATCACTTGGAAATCCAAAATCTAACTGACCCTAACTTTTCTACATGTATCTTTACAATAATTCTAAAATTGATTTCGTTTTAGCTGACCAATAGAGTTTTAATATTTTTGTGTCTTAAATAACAAAATGACCAATCAGGTTTCAATACAAAATAATGTAACATAGCAACATTGAATTTATAACACAATCATCACCTGGATATTTTATCAGTCATAAGGCTTAACAACATGATAAGTACAGACAGCTTAATTGAGCCTATCACCTATATATTATAAAACTTTTAGCATAGTTGATTGGACAAAGAGGAAAAGCCGCATTTTAATCTTCCAGTTACATAATTTAAAATTTGACATCTGTTATTGAAACATATAATATTTGTAACTTAACATATTTGAAATTTCACAATTTTTGTTTTGAAAATATGACATTTTAGAAAATGATTATATCCATAAATTTTTGTGTTTAAAAGAAAATAGCATGCATATTTATTCATTTTTTTCATAAAAAGAATTGTATCATTTTTTCGGCTGCACAACAATTCTCTGGTGTTCCTTGGTTCACTAGTGTTAAATCAAATAAATTTAAAAATAGTATTATTATATTTTATGGCACTTTACATTGTCTTATAAATCATTTTTATCTTACATGGTTTGAGACTGTTAGAAAAGAATTTCAACAGCAAGTAGCACAAAAACACACTCAATACACTTTGAAATGAAATTTTAAAAGTGAAAACAATGCCCCAGTCCCAGGATGGCAAACAGACAGACATGATTGTCATTTGGTGTAAAGACTGACATGGGATCATGAGTTTTGTATAAATATGTTATACAATGATACTCTATTGGTCTAGTTTATCACTTGTTTTACAATGGAATTAGTACATATAATTTACTCTTGAGATGAAAACATCTCCAAACCAAAATAACTTGTTTTTAATATTCTAAAGTTTACTTTATTTTTTTTAAGACTAAGCTAGCGGATACCGGTATTATGCGGCTGACCACTTTAAGGCCTTTAGTGTACCTATAGACCAGGTTAAATAAAGCCCTTTCCTGTATGAGCCAACGTCACAAAAAGTTGGACAAGTAAAGGCCACTAAACAAATAAATACTTCGCTACATCATATAAGACATATTCTTCTAAAGAATATGGACGATACTTGGCCACAAATTCATTCATATGAGCCAACCTCAATTTATCTCTAAAGAATGGAGTCATGCTGTCCTCAATGAAAAGGCAAAACAAAATAAGATGATAATTATGTTCTATATCATTTGCTGAATCTTTCATGTATTAAAATGAAATTTATAAAACATCGATCAGAAGTATTCTCATTATTATACAGAATTGAAAGAGCAACTGCTTTTTCTTCTTGTTTCTTTTTTTTTTGTTCTTTTTGTTTATTTTTGTTTTGGTTATAGCTAAAATTCCATTCAAAATTCATCTTTGAAAAACTGGCAAAAATGTTTTTGCATGTCGGCCATGCATGCGGAATACATGTGTCAGATACCAGTCCGAGTTGCATAACCTTACCAGTCATTCAAGATCATCCGAAAGATATGATCATATATTTTGGCAGCAACCCCTTATTTTTTTCTATGACTATATAGTGGTTTCATTGGCCTCCTGTACATCAAATTGTTAACATCGTAAAGTTGAAGGCAAATACATGTAGTACTGGTAAACGGCTTGAGAGCTTACCCAGAGACAATGTGATGGCTGAACTGTGCTCTCGTAAACTCAATATCGCTTATTGTCGTGATCCTAAGAGTAAACATCCAACACCACCATAAGGCAATTTTAGAATATGAACGCTTATTTAGTGTCGTCAGAATAAACGGAATAACGTAAAATAATAATTCCAATCATGAAAAGTCGAATGAATAAATATTTGTAGGCTGCCTGTATTAGATTATCCGACGGTGCAGGTCACTTTCGTTGTAATTGAACATGAATCCTTCATACGGTCATTTGCACTGCTCCGTTATCAGTTCTTTGAACCTGCAATTGTTAATTGTGACAATGCTACCACTGTTTGATCCATTTTGGACAGTCTCTCTAGTTGAAATATTTATATCTTATATGTGTTGAATGGCCCGAAAATATTTTATGTTTAACCTTAGATATTTGACATGTAGAATTGCATTGTTGACTTCTGCTAAAATTATGCAAATCATTAGTCTCATACAATTGTGGTGGTGGCAGTTCACCTCTGCATTACAGCAGGGAGCCATATTGAATTTTCCAGAGCACAGTTAAGCCACTGTATCGTTTCTGGGTAAGCTGCCGAACTGGTTACCAATACCAGTTGCCTTCACATTTTCAAAAGGTGAATGTTTGGTATTATTGTAATTAATGTAAAAAAAGGTAGTTACAAAAAATATTTGTTAGCATAGCATTTTGATTTTCTTATTATTTTAGTTCTGATTTTGTGCTTTTGAATTTCCAAGTTAAGTAAAAAATGAAAGATAAACGGAACAAACACTTTTTGTAATTTTGAGTTGCTCATAGCCGAGTTTTACACAAAATGATAATTGTTTCGAAACCCAGGTAACATCGTTCAAAAGAAGACATGTACATCACCTAATTGTGGTCCAACGTGCAACGCTGACGGATGTCTTAACAGTGGTGAACGTCATACTGTTGGTGTAACTGCCTCTAGAAGTGGATACGAAACAGATGGTTCAGTTTCTGGATCGTTCACGGTCAACGTATATGCAGCCAATCCCCCAACATTTTCCTATAGTCGTAAGTTTTATTAAGTAAGGTCATATTAAATAGCTATTCTAGAATAAATATTTAGAAAATGAATGTAGTTTGTCACAGGTCAACCATTTCAAATGTAGGTCAAATTATGTAGTTTGTATTTATCAGTATCTTTTTCCTTCCTTTTTTATTCTATTTTTTATAAAAAAAAATGTCAAATTCTGCAAAAGCATTACATACGCTGTTGTTGTTTTTTCTTTTCTTTTTTTCAGCGCGGAACTCGATAAGTGTATCCCACGACACGGCGGGTATAGGAACCGTCATCAACACATTAGTTCCGTCCTTTCTAGATGACGGTAACGATTATGATTACATACGATATCGTCAGAACAGCGGGCCGGGGAATTCGTACATACACGGAACATCCGGTCTCTTCTATCTGGACACATGTACGTATATTTAAACTAGAGGATGCTTTTGTAAAAAAGCGCATGTCTCCCCCACTGCACTGTGACCTTGACCTTTGACCTACTGACCCCAAAAACAATAGGGATCATCTGCTCTATAAGACCAATCATCCTATGAAGTTTGAGGGCTGTAGGTCAAAAGGAACTCTAGTTATCATCCGGAAACGAGAAATTGACCAACGGTCACTGTGACCTTGACCTTTGACCTACTGACCCCAAAAACAATAGGGATCATCTGCTCTATAAGACCAATCATCCTATGAAGTTTTGAGGGCTGTAGGTCAAAAGGAACTCTAGTTATCATCCGGAAACGAGAAATTGACCAACGGTCACTGTGACCTTGACCTTTGAACTACTGACCCCAAAAACAATAGGGATCATCTGCTCAATAAGACCAATCATCCTATGAAGTTTGAGGTCTGTAGGTCTAAAGGAACTCTAGTTATCATCCGGAAACGAGAAATTGACCAACGGTCAGTGTGACCTTGACCTTTGACCTACTGACCCCAAAAACAATAGGGATCATCAGCTCTATAAGACCAATCATCCTATGAAGTTTGAGGGCTGTAGGTCAAAAGGAACTCTAGTTATCATCCGGAAACGAGAAATTGACCAACGGTCACTGTGACCTTGACCTTTGACCTACTGACCCCAAAAACAATAGGGATCATCTGCTCTATAAGACCAATCATCCTATGAAGTTTGAGGGCTGTAGGTCAAAAGGAACTCTAGTTATCATCCGGAAACGAGAAATTGACCAACGGTCACTGTGACCTTGACCTTTGAACTACTGACCCCAAAAACAATAAGGATCATCTGCTCAATAAGACCAATCATCCTATGAAGTTTGAGGTCTGTAGGTCTAAAGGAACTCTAGTTATCATCCGGAAACGAGAAATTGACCAACGGTCAGTGTGACCTTGACCTTTGACCTACTGACCCCAAAAACAATAGGGATCATCAGCTCTATAAGACCAATCATCCTATGAAGTTTGAGGGCTGTAGGTCAAAAGGAACTCTAGTTATCGTCCGGAAACGAAGAATGGACGGACGGACTGACGGACGGACGGACTGACGGACGGACGGACTGACGGACGGACAGGGCAAAAACAATATGTCTCCCCCCGAGGTGGGGGAGACATAATGAATTGGTTAATCATGGAAGATCTTACCATAAATGATTGAAAGTACGAGGGATGTCCGGAAAGTTCATATACATCTTCATTTTTTATTGTATAACAATACATACGCTGTACAAATTGTGTCAGCAAAAATATACATATCTAGCGAACACATTTCTAAAAAATTATTGAACTGTGACTTACGTTTGTATTTTAACAGTATTTACATACAACATATATACAGCGTCATGGAGCACTTCGACAGCGTCAACGGCGTCAAATTAACTTCATGTTTACCAACTATTCAATTTCTTCCGATTTAAATAGCCATGGTACCTCTCTGGCGTATACTTAATACATGTAATGTTCCTTTGCTATTACTTCATGAATTTCATATTTAAAATTATTATTCAAAATCAAATATGTCACTGGTTCCCATACAGTGTGTGGCATGTCTGCATTTTTCAAAAATTGTAACGCAATCTACGATATTTCGGCCATGCTACTTTTGGTCGTCTGGAGCGTTTCTTATACATCATGTCATCACCGCTTCTTAATCATGTTTGATACTTAAACACAAGTTGCCTTTAACATTTTATGGTTGATTTTGTTTTTAAAGTAAAGATTAAAATCTCAGTTGGTAACAATATTAGCGTTGCTATGAAGTTAAATATCATTACGTTGCTCCGTCCATGAATTTGACGTCATTTTTGCAACACAAAATTTACGCACCTTCAATGCCTATAATCGTCTTTTACAAGCTGTTTGTTTACGTATGACGTCATTATTTACACTAAATATCATGTAATAGTATCCTATGATGCCACAAAATTAAAAAATAGAGTTTGCGTTAAAATTACAACTTTTAGCAACTTATTATTCGAGAAGCTATCGTTATGAAATCAAAGTGCTCCGTGATTCGTTGATCATGTTGCCATGGTGATTGGCGATTTGCGAATACAACTTTTATCATGTTTTTTAATATAGACATTTGTAGCAGAATAAATACTTTAGCAAAATATTCAATCATCATATTGATATGACTGTTTATAAAAATTTTATAGCCTTGTCTACGAACTTTCCGGACACCCCTCGTATTTACATATAGCACAATACATGACAATAAACGGCGGAAGATTATATACGGGTTTGACATACAATTCGATATCATAAACAGAATATGATGAATTATTATTGTTCTTGAACAAAAATTGTTCAGCATATAAATTTTCATACTAAATAACTAAAAAAATTTGTCTAAGAAATATTTTACAAGAATGTCCATTTCCAATTTACATTTCTAATGTATTGATCAGTATTTAAAAATTCACGGTTTAAACGTCATGAATTCACGATTTCAATTTCATGTGAAATCGTGAATTCGTGAAGTTAAACTATGAAGACTCATTAACTTGCAAGGTTGAAAACATGAATTTACAAAGTTGAATTCATCATGTTGAAATCGTGAATTCGTGAAGGCCAAATCGTTTATTCATGAAGTTGTAATCGTAAATTTATGAAGTTGAAATCATGAATTCGTGAAGATGAAATCGGGAAATTATGAAATGGACATTACTCCACCGGTCTTTCGTACGAAATGCCGATAGTGATATCTTCCCCTTGAAAAGAAAACTAGAATGTACCAACATTTTTGTCTGAGGTATTAAGTATTTTGAAATATAAAGTGTTCTCCTTCATTGTGGTTCGAGGGGTTAGAGTCGATGACTTCTAATCCAGTTACCACTCTGGCGTGGGTTCGATCCCCGGGAGATGCTTTGGTAGTTTAGCGCAGAGGAAGGTAGTCTAGTACTGGTGTAACTCTCCAGGAACGATGGTTAGGAAACTACCCGCCTATATGACTGAAATACTGTTGGAAATGGCGTAAAATGAAACAAACAAACTAACAACAAACATTTCCTGCATGAGAGCAAATGTAAAAAATGAGAAAGTAATAATTATTAAAGAGCAACGTTGAAAATGCTGCCCTTACAATATACAGAGAATATCGTGTGCATATATGTACGTTGAAACTATCACCTAAGGAAGACTCTTCTTTTTGTAAGTTTCTTTTTATTGGATTTCAAGTAACACATAATATCTGTCATCTGGCGACTTCCTAGCGTTACTGAAGGAATGCCTGAAGTGACCATTCGTGTATTACTTTAGGAAATACCTCCGGATTATCGTAAGCTAGCTGGATGGTTATTCATTAAATGACACTTTGTTACGTTTTACATCGAAGGTTCCATGATACACCGTATTTCAAAAGGTTACCATATTGTATGTTAAATGTTGAGTTCAGCTTAACCCGGTGCTTGGGAAGTGGGGGTGGTAGCTTATATTTACCTATATGAACATGCTTCTGCAACATATAATTTTACTGTTTCAGGCTTTCTTACGGAATTCCTTTATATCTATTTAAATATCAAATTGCTTAATCTGCATTGGCCTGATTCTACAGTTGATGAAATTGACAACTGAAATCAGTGTAGCAAGTGCTAACTCTAAGTTAAAACATTGGGTAATGTTTTACTATTTCTTTCAGCTACCGGCCAGGTTAAAGTTGGGAAAGATTTGACTATGGAATTTTCTTACTATTTCACAATGAACTTATGTGTTTATGACAGAAGACTCAGGGAGGCTTGTCAAGACCTGACGATTACCTTATGTAAGTTTTTTTCTCAACCAATGAATTGTATGATACAAATATAATAAATAGTACAAGATCCATATTTTCAATATAGGTCACAATATGAGCTTGAATAAAAGAATGAATAAGTATGTCACAATATGACATAATGATGCTTTTTTATAAGCTTTGAGTTATTAACGATAGGGCTTCTGAACTATTTATATGAAACGAATTTCGAAATCACCGCACAAGATGCATAGTGTGAGCTGTCTCCAACTGCAAATATACTGTGGCGGCAAGACAAATAATTTACAATCTGAAGAATCACATAATCTGCCGCGTGGGTTAAATCCAGTTAGGGACATCTTTTCGTTTCCTCAAGAAAGAAACTTGCTAAGTACTGGTTTGTCATTGAATATTGTCTATACACAATTAAATTGAAATACCATCTGAATAAATATGCACAATGCATGGCCCTTTGCATATGGTATATCGAAATATACCTTTAAGTGTGAAGTAAGCTAAAGTAATATTTTTAGACAGCATAACGGACAGAAAGTGAAACTTATATAAAAGGCGTATTTTCCATTTTAGGGGCGTGTTTTCAGACGCCTACATGCAATGACCAATCAGATAATAACATTATTGATACATATGGAACATACACATATGGTCACGGTGGAAGCAGTAACACGATTTTCAACATGGACTATCCACAACCAACTGAACATTTCCCTGCATTCAGTTCTACATGGCATGACCTCACGTGGACTTTTGATTTGAACGAATTCCCAGAGGCAGCCATTAATTCTGATACAGGTAAGCTTTTGCTTGTTTTCTGTTGTTTTATTTGGGATTCAAAGAATTAAGACCCACGATAAGTAGAATATCTAAATAAAATTTTATCCCGGAACTAAATGTATTAGCAATTTAGTCACAATGACACGTTCTTAAATACAGACCCTTCGTATCTAAAAGGTTATTTATTAGACAAGACGTAGAATGAATTTTATATTCTGTTGCAACGTTATTCGGTTTAGCAGCAAACTTTTAAGTTCAACTCACAGGTGCAGTAGTTTTGTGTGTCTTCGGAAAAGAGTCTCCCTTATCTTAGATAGAAATATCAAATAATTTTCTAATTTTATATTTCATTCAGGAGAAATATACATCACTCGGAATATCAGCATATGGCCATCATGGCCGACAAAAGATTACAACCAGGTGGTACGGGTTGCAAACTCAGAGTCCTGTTACACAACGACTTGTAACTTTAAAGTTCGAATCCACTACACTAATTGGGTATGAAGTTTTTTCTCATTAATTGACATATAAAGGATTGACCGCAAAACTGCAGTAACTTATATGAAATGAATAAAAGACTTGCAACAGTTTTGCGATCAAAAATTGAGAAATGAAAAAAAAATCGATATCTTAAATATTTTGACCCGTAATACAAGAGTCCAGCAAAAAATCTTTAGATCTCCATGTTATGGTGGTTGATTTGATACACTTTGCGCGTTTTGTTGTCTATAACGACAACGCCACCTTTATCGTTTTCGTCGTGTTGTCTTGTCGCTAGCGAAACACTTGTATCTAACTGTTATTTTTTATATTTCGAAAACAAACCAATGAATAACTAAATAGCATTTTTTAAAAACATAAATATTTATAAAGGCGTTACCCGTATATATTCAGACGCATTCGAGGACTTGAGTCCAGCATAGAGGGAATGCAACAAATGTCCAACTTGAAATCGTATATATTCACTTTTTTGCATAAGAATGATATCGCACGAGCTTAATATACTCTTAATAATTTATACTATCTCTATCATTTCGGGTATAAAATGTGCACACTCCTTCGAAAATTGAAATTTATAATGAAATTGAAATTATGACATAAATTAAATGGGATAATCTCTATCCCTAAGTATCTTTTTTTCACCTTTTACTTCCTCAACTACTGTCAGTTCGCGTAAATGATGCACTTTAATGTATTTTGGACGAAATTTATTCAAAATCAATACTTAAATATTAATGGAATTCAGTATGATTTTATTTAGGACACCACAAGGTAGCTCCCTCCTTATCTCACAGATTCTCAACTTTCATGAGTTCACTCGACACTTACTTTATCATCTGAATACCACTTTACTGAAAGTTGAGGACTGTCTTGACCGTTAAGTAATTATATGGGATTTACGCAATGAGGGTGAGTGTATGTATCGATTCTGTATACTGGTCTTAATCTTGAACTGTATTAATTATTCCATGTGTTTGTTTAACATTCTAATACGCTTCATAATATCCCTTTACTTTACCGCATGGTTTGAAACTTTTTCTTTGTTCTAATTTGCAAATTATACTCAGTACACTTTCAATGAGGATTTGAAAACTACACAAGGTATATAACAGAACATTGTTTATTGATTCATATAGGAAAAAATTAAAGTAATTTATAACAATTGAATTTTTTTCCTCTTTTTATTGCACTTTGTATATATCAGTGTTTTTTACAGAGGTTGAAAGGGGAGGATCACACATATCTAGTAGCAATAATATAATATAAACATAGATTAATTATGTGGTATTGGTTCATTTTTTTCAGGGTTTATATTTGAAACGAAACAAAAAGGGCACAACAGCTTATTTCTGTCACCAAAAGATATGAAATTGCGAATCATAACAGCGCATACTCGTTAGTTACAGTGTTATACACTGGCTTAGGTGACATCTCAGGATGATTCTGCAAATAAATCGTGTGTGCGTGCGCGCGCGTACTTGCGTGTGTGTGAATATAGGATATGTAAAGTGATTAAAATGTTCATAACTTCATTATTTAAGTACCTTAACTATTATATTTAAAAGAAGTATGCATATTTTTCAGCCAATAGAAATTCGAAGTTTACCCGCGAGCTTTAACCTTCACGAGGATTATGATTTGGAAATCAAAATACATTCATTGATCACTTACGATTATAATAATCACATGGAAGACAATGTCACGTGCCAAATCATTGACTGGTCCCCTAAAGAGAATGATATGTTTGAACTCAGACATGACGGAAACTTTGATTATGATTGTAAGTATCAGTTTTAGAATTTCCTTTTTTATATCGAAATTGTAAGAACTAGGTAGATAAAATCTCCCAATTTAGATCTGTCCATCCTTATCATGTGCTGGATATAACTTCTTGGTGTGTTTTATTCCATTTCCATAAAACATATAACATCCTTTCAAACTTTGCTACGACGAAAATTGGAATGTTTTTTTTTAATATTTGTAAGATACATGTATATCACTAAACTGTTTGGCATATTGATATCTTACAACATAATTACGGTTAACACCGTGTTAGTGTACATGACGGGGGCGTCACTTTTTACAACCTAGTTGTTTTTTTAAAAAAAAAAAAAACACTCGTTTCAAAAACGTCTCGTATTATAATTTCACCCCGGGGAGCAGTCTGGCGGGCGGTCGGACGTCGACCAATTGTTGTCCGGAGCATATCTTCCACGAATGGAAGAATTTTAATGAAACTTCATCACTATCAGAAGATATGTCGCACGCATGAACCGGGTCTCTTGGTCAATAGAAATGTTCACAACTGTGATAAGCAGTGACATGCGCATGAACCAGGTCGCTAGGTAAATATCAAGGTCACACTTACAGATAATTGAAAACGCTTGTCTGAGAAAAACTTCTATATACATTGAGGGATTTTAATTTAACTTGACAAAAATGTTCACTATTTTGTCGCGTTTAAAATTTAGGTCCCTGCAGCCAAGGTCAAGGTCCTATATATGGGTCAAAGTTCAGATAAAAATATGAAAACGTGTATTCGGAACATTTAGTCATCATTTATTGAGGGATTAAAACACAAATGGTCATTATCATGACTTCTGGTGTGAAACATGTAATAAAGGTTAATATATGGAAGAACATGGTCACTAAAGATGATAAAGATAGAAAATTTTGTTCAGAGCATATCTTTTACACGCATTGAGAGATTCAAATGAAACTTCATAGAAATGTTTACAACTATGAGAAACAGTGTCATGTAAATCAACTAGGTTTCAAGTTCAATGGTCAATGTCACACTTTGAGGACATTGAAAAACGCATGTCCAGAACAAAACTTCTACATGCATAAAGGGATTTCAATATAACTTTGCACAATTGATCACTTTAGTGAGGCGGAGTGTCGCATACAATGTAACACTCAGAGGTTACTGAAAAACGCTTGTTCGGAACAAAACTTCAACATTCATCGGGGGATTTTAATGTAAGTTGGCAAAATGTTCAAGATTTTGAGGCTTAGTGTTGCGTGCATAATCTAGGTCCCTGCTTCCAATGTCAAGGTCACATAAAGTGGTCAAAGTTAAGCTAACTTGATGATGTGTACAGGGAACATTAAGTCATCATTTATCGATTGGTTGTAACACAAATGATAACTATCATGACTACAAGTGTGATACATGTAATTAAGATTAATATTTACAAGGTCAGTGTCACTATAGATGATAAAATATCCAGATTTTATCCGGATATTTTCCATAACAAATCTCCTGTATGTATATCTATAATGTCCACATCTCTGTCAAAAGTTTTTGTGACCGCCGTTTTTAGCGTCAAATTTGCCCATGTTTATCATTCGAGTTTGTTTAGCTTATCAAAATTTACATTTTAGCATATAGCCTTTATAAGTTGAGATGTCAAGAACCAGGATGTGGTTACAAATACCAGCAACCAAGGGCATACTATTGTGATACTGATATTGGTTGCTTGACCCACAACCGGACTCAACAATATACCGTGACAATACAGTGTTGGGACGCATACAACTCAACCGACGTTGACGTGTTTACGTTCAACATCAATAAGAATCAAGTTCCAATCTATAGACATTTGCCTAGTAAGATAAATTCAATCGTTCATCATCTTCTTCTTAAAGTGATATAGTTTATTTGACTATTTCGAATAAAAATGCGCATTAACCTCTTTTCTTTCATAATAGAATGTATGTTTGCATTTTGACTAACAAATGACACTTTTCTAGTTTACATATTTTAAAACCATTTTTAAGAAATAATAATATACACTTGTACACATCATTTCTAGGGTGGTCTAGGTGACAAAAATAAATTTTTTGAAAGAAAACGTTTTGCAAATTGTCCAAATGTGACAGTAAAATTCCGTTTCCTTGATAAGTATCGATCCTAGTAACATTGTAAGCAGTCTACATTTGTGAAATAATGTTAAACCAAAAGCGAAGTGGAACGATATAAGATGACTATACAAGGCCATCCAAAATCATATTTTAATATAATTAGATAGTAAATATTTCTTTTCAGCTCACATTGATCTTAATCGACAGAACGTCTCATATCTGGACACAATTTTCGAGATAATGTACTCAGACGCTGAAAACGAAAACTTGATTTATGAATATACATACCAAGACGTTGATACTAATGTTGATCCGAACTACTTTCTTGGAACAACTTGGGGAAACTATTACAGTTGAGTATGAATGTCAATATAGAAACAAAGAGGATGATCTTTACACATAAAAGTGGAATATCAGGCTAGACTGACATTAGTCGACGTGTTTTATGTGACGTTTCAGTGAGATAATACTTACCACACGATAAACAAGTCCGAAGTACAAACCAGTCCGAAGCATATTTTTGCAAATGAAACACAGTTCATAAACTTCAAAATGTTCATTTAAACAATTAGTTATCTGATTCTTTCATTTCTCATGCAATTGGATGCATGATATGTGCACTTGGTACCTCTATCTGTTGTGTCATAAAAGGTCCTAAGTGTATCCTAAGTCACAGAATTTATGACAAAGTAAAGGACTAACTTTAGACCGTTTCAG